ACCACCCAAGAAGGTGGAGCTTCCACCTATCGATGTAAAGCTTGATGGACCCGCGACATATCTGAGTTGGTCGCGTCGGGTGAGATATACCCTTGCCGGGAGGAGCCTGGAGGGATATCTGACAGGGGAGAAGACTGAGCCGGCAGAGGGCTCCGCAGGGAGAGATGAGTGGAAGTCCACTCATATGCTGGTGTACATCTGGCTCCTGAATTCTGTAGTCCAGCCAATTGCTGCCACAGTGGATGGCCTTGGGAAGGTGCAGGATGTCTGGGAGAAGCTGAGGAGGACCTACGATGGGGTGGGGAATAACCTGAGGGTATTCCAAATCGAGAAGGAGATCAACACTACAGTCCAGGGAGAGAGAACTGTACAGGAGTACGCCACAGAGCTGGAGCGCTTGTGGCTTGATCACGATCACTTCTCGCCCCTAACTAGTTGCAAGGACCCGGAGTGTAAGGAACGCGAGGCCTCTTTGTAGAGGAGGACCATGTTATTTCTCCGAGGCTTGGCTCCAGCATATGAGCAGAGGACGGCATTGCTACTGACCCAAACGAAGATCCCACCACTAGAGGAGGCAGTCTCGGCCATGATACAGGAGGAGAGCCGTATCAGGCTACAGGCTGGGACATGTGGACTTACAGGGGAAAAGTCTGAACTGGTGGTCTCTAACCCAGGTAACACTGGATTCAGAGGAGAGACGAGGCAGTGCTTCAACTGCGGAGAGGTAGGGCATCTGAGACATATGTGCCCTAAACCACCTAAGGAGTGGGGTGGACGTGGTCAGGTTGGAGGCCGTGGTCGTGGCCGTGGAGGCAGGCGAGGTGGAAGAGGAGGCCACCGAGCAAACTTGACAGTGGCAGAAAGGGAAGAAGAAGCTGAGATGATATTCACCGATGAGGATCGGGCGCTCTTGGCAGCGCTGAGGAGGAAGCAGAGAGCAGTAGGTGATGTGTCTGAGGAGGAATTTACTACTTTCCCTGGAGGAGACTATGCAAATTACGCTCTTCGCGCACACCCAAACGAGGGAAGATCCACTGCCTGGATAATGGATTCTGGAGCATCCAGACATGTGACAGGTAATGCCAGTGAGTTCTCATCTTATACTCACTTGGCAGAAGCAGAGAGCATCCAGATCGCTGATGGTACAACACAGGCTGTGGTTGGTAAGGGCACCGTTAGTTGTACAGGTTCTATAACTTTATCTAATGTTTTGCACGCTCCTTCATTTCCTGTTAGCCTGTTATCCATTAGCGCCATTATCCTCCAACTAAATTGTATTGTTTCTTTTGATATTCCCAAGGTGGTCTTCCGGGAGAAGGGGACAGGGCGAAGACTTGGGACTGGGACATGTTCTTTTGATATTCCCAAGGTGGTCTTCCGGGAGAAGGGGACAGGGCGAAGACTTGGGACTGGGACATGGCGTAGTGGACTGTGGTACTTGAACCGCGAAGGGATGGACTCAGCGCTAACATCTGTAATTGAGAGGACGGGAACAGGAGGAGCTAAAATGTGTGCAGAAGATGAATTGATGCTCTATCATCAACGAATGGGACACCCGTCATTCGGAATTTTGGGAAAAATGTATCCAACTCTGTTTGAAAAAGTAAATAAGCAGAAACTTCAGTGTGATGCTTGTGAGTTTGGGAAGCTTACTAGAAGCTCCTATGTTAGTTCGGGGAGTAGGAGTTCTTGTAAGTTTGAAGTAATACACTCTGATGTATGGGGACCCTGCCCAGTAAACTCTATAAATGGATGCAAGTTTTTTGTTACATTTATTGATTGTTTCTCTAGAGTCACTTGGGTGTATCTTATAAAAAACAAAAGTGATGTAATAGGCTGTTTCAAGGATTTTCACAAGCACATCCAGACTCAGTATTGTGCAGTAGTAAAGGTGTTGAGGTCGGATAATGGGACAGAGTATACCAACAGAACACTTGGGGAGTATCTGTCAGCTTAGGGGATTCTACACCAGACTACATGCCCATACACCCCAGCTCAGAATGGGGTAGCAGAGAGAAAGAACAGACATCTCCTAGAAGTTGCTAGGAGCATGATGATGACGATGAATGTCCCAAAGATGTTGTGGGGACAAGCAGTCTTGACTGCTGCTCACTTAATCAACAGGATGCCTTCGAGTGTGTTGAAGTGGAAGTCACCCCGTGAGACACTAAAGGGAGATAACGGGGGGCCCTACCATTGAAAGTATTTGGTTGTGTGTGCTTTGTGAAGGACAACAGACCATCGGTTGGGAAACTAGACCCTAGGGCTGTGAAGTGTATATTTGTGGGATACAATGGCACCCAGAAAGGGTATGTCTGCTGGAGCCCGGTGGAGAAAAGACTGTTTGTTAGCATGGATGTGCGGTTTCGGGAGCTCGAGCCATACTACACAGTGGGGGTTACTTCACCGTTTGAAGACTTGCCCGATACTGAAGGTACGAGGCGAGAGGGGGAGAATGATGAGAGCTCAAGGGGGTTAATCCCAATTTCGATTCCGTACTCAAAGGAGAAGGAGGATGAAGACGAAGGGAAGGAGGAGGAGACAAGAGGTGTTAGGCCTACAGCTCAGGGGGAGTTACTTACATACAGTAGGAGGGGTAAGGAGCCAGAGGTGCCTACAGTGACAGTGCCAATGCCTAGTCCCTCGTCCAGCTCTACTCCAACTCCTGAGACACCTACACTACCCTCCACTTCAGGTAATATCATTCCTACTCCTACCCTTCTTCCCACTCCCATGTCAGTAAGGAGGACTACTCGCAGTAATGCGGGAAATCCTCCTGAGAGATATGGTTGGGATCTAGCTCAATTTGTTTCCTATTCTCACATATCCCCTTCACATGGAGCATTCATTGCATCATTAGATTCTGTTATTATACCTAACAACTGGCAGGAGGCTAAGAAGGACCCAAAGTGGAAGGCAGCTATGCATGAGGAGCTGGGGGCTCTTGAAAAGAACCACACGTGGGAATTAGCGACATTGCCAGCGGGGAAAAGAGCAGTAGGATGCAAGTGGGTGTTTGCCGTGAAGCAGAATCCAGAAGGGAAGGTTGAACGATACAAGGAACGACTGGTGGCAAAAGGGTACAGCCAGACATACGGCATTGACTATGATGAAACTTTTGCACCAGTGGCAAAGATGAGTACTGTTCGGACGTTGATTTCTTTGGCAGCAAATGGTGGATGGGAACTACACCAACTGGATGTGAAGAATGTATTTCTACATGGAGATCTAGTGGAAGAGGTGTATATGGAGATACCACCTGGATGTGGCACAGGACAGACAGTAGGAAAGGTCTGCAGGCTGAAGAAGTCTTTGTATGGGCTGAAGCAGTCCCCTCGAGCATGGTTTGACAGGTTCAGGAGAGCCATGGTTGGTATGGGGTATAGACAGATTAATGTCGACTATACTGTATTTTTCAGAAGAAGTGGGGATCACATCACTATGCTGACAGTGTATGTGGATGACATGATCATCACTGGGGATGATGAGAAGGAGATTGCTCAACTCAAGGTGAGATTGAGCAAAGAATTCGAAGTGAAGGATCTGGGTCAGCTTAAATACTTTCTTGGGATAGAGATAGCTCATGGACCTAAGGGGATTGTTCTCTCCCAGAGAAAGTATGCACTGGATCTTCTTACAGAAACGGGGATGTTGGGGTGCAAGCCTACTGCTACACCGATTGATCAGAGTCTCAGGCTGAGTGCTGAGGCAGGAGAACCAGTTGATCGTGAGAGATATCAGAGATTGGTGAGCAGGCTAATCTACCTGAGTCACACACGTCCAGACATCTCATTTGCAGTAAGCGTGGTGAGCCGCTACATGCATGACCCGAGGAAGGGTCATATGGATGCAGTATACCAGATACTGAGATATTTGAAGAGAGCCCCTGGCAAAGGACTAAGATTCAAGAGGAGTGGCCATGTGAACATTGAGGGCTACTGTGACTCAGATTGGGCTAGTTGTGGAGATGATCGGAGATCTACCTCAGGGTATTGCATATTTGTAGGAAGCAACTTAGTCTCCTGGAAAAGCAAGAAGCAATCTGTGGTGGCGAGATCAACAGCTGAAGCAGAGTACTGAGCCATGGCCTTGGGAGTTGCGGAGTTGATGTGGCTGAAGAGCATGCTGGTAGAGCTGAATCTTGACCAAGGGGACAAGATGAGTTTGTGGTGCGACAACAAGTTAGCTATTAGCATCGCCAACAACCCAGTTCAGCATGACAGAACGAAACACATTGAGATTGATAGATTCTTCATCAAGGAGAAGCTGAACAGTGGGCTACTGGAGTTAGGTCATGTTCCAACTAAGGAGCAGGCTGCAGACTGCTTGACTAAAGGACTTAGCTCAGTAGATCTAGCCAGAGGGTGTGACAAGATGGGCTTAGTAGACATCTTTCGCCCATCTTGAGGAGGAGTGTTGAGAAGCTAATGTAATTGAGGGATATTGGAGGGCTTATATGTAAATGTGTGTAAGGCTATATAAGCCAAAACTATTCTATCAATAGATGAGATCCTTTTGAGCCCTAACTTTTGAATAGTTTGTATTTTTGAGAGGATAACTTTGATAAATCTTCAGCATTCGGAGCTGAGTATCACAAGAAGCCCCCATCGTGTTCTGTTCGATATAGGACAGTACTTTCCGACAAACATTCTCATCCTTCAGTAGCACCCGCCTGAAATTGATTATAATGCCATTGAGTTTTGATAAATGTATGAAGTATGAAAGATTGTCCATGGCGATATTAAGCATGTATTTTGCTTTTATCTATTATCATCTACAATTTCAGAGATTTTTGTTACCGTGTTGGGCTTTATGTGAGTTCTCACAAATATTCGTATCTCTATGATCTGAATATTGTTTTTGTTAATTTATTTTTAATTAAATGCTGGAGAGATATGCTTCACAGTTTATTTGAAAATTGTCAAAGCATTTGTACAAACCCGAATCTGCTGCTTCCGTGGCCAGACATTTTAGAAATAGAGAACAACAAGACACCTTCGTCAGCTGGAGATAGGATGGTAGAATAGTGAGGCCAGTAGTAGCATCGGTCGTAGATGACCAAGGAGCCTCCGAGGACTGAATGTTTGAAGATCCCGTTCAGGATTGTTTGGTGAAATCACGATTTCTCTGAAATTGGTATCTGACGAGTTTATCCAGTCAGGCGCGTTCCCTTCCCATTTGTTCGCCCTAAAGTCAAGCAGCTCCGTTTGAGTCTTGTACACCTGTGATGTGCGTTATAACAGTTAGATACTTCAAAATTTACGAAGTATCTATCTATCTATCTATCTATTTACATTCCACACGGTTGGATTCTCCGTTTTAGTTATTTTTTGATGTTTCGACAACCTAATTTCTTCTTGTTCACACACACACTCTCTCTCTCTCTCTGCTACTTTACTGTTGAGCTTAGCCAATACCTATCTATTCTATACTAAATTACTAATTGAAACAGTATCCTTAGTTGACACTTTCACAAATTATTTCTCATACTGTTGATTGATAAACTTCTCTGTATTAAGTATTAATATATTGCTTTTTCTAAACCTGCTTTCTTCTTCTCTCTTCTCTCATATATAGATTCCAATGAGTTGTGTTGACGTACGATTGATGATGACTAGCCTTTGTAATTTTGAAAAATATTTTACAGTAAGGAGGTTGACCGGATAGTAAGGAGCAGAAGCTAGCTAGCGACTGACTCTGGCAGGAGAAACTGAAGAATCGTTGCTGGCATCCGGCGGCAATGCATAGACAAGAGCATTCATGAGTTGAGTTGCTCCGGTACCGAAGGCCATGAACCTGCCTTCGGTGACAGCATTACCGATGGGTCTTCTTCCACTCAACAACTTCTCATCCCTTGCTCTCTTCTTCTCAAACTCGAACTCCGAGAGCTTCTTCTCTCTGAAGAAATCTCTGTCTGTTGTCTTCTGCATTTCTCCCACCAACTCATTTATTACGGTTTCGCGATCCCTGAGCTCCCTTTCTCTGAGAGTTTTGTTGTCTTCCTCCAGCCTGGCCACTGTTTCTGTGAGTACGTGGTTGATCCTCTTGAGGTTCTCAGTCTCTTGGCTTGCTGCAAGGTTTGAGAGATGCGAGTGTGACTATGTGAAAACGACGAAGGAATTGTGAAAAACGTGAAGAATAACTCAAAATAGACTCCACCACACCCTGGTGTGGTGTCTGCCATGGGTGTGGTAGAATCTGTCCTGCACCACACCCTCTGCCACACCCACGGTGCAGGGTGTGACAGAATCTATCCTGCACCACATCCTCTGCCATACCCATGGTGCAGGGTGTGGCAGACTCGTTTTTAGAATCCTTCTTTGTTTGGGAATCCTCCTTTGTTTGGGATTGTGTTTTATTATAAATAAGACCACGTTTTTAAGGATTTTTTAAGGAGAGAAAAGGAGAGAATTAGCATTGTTTTGAGCACTTTGAGAGGGAGATATTGTGAGGGAGTTGAGAGCTTTGGTTAGGGTTATATTTGAGTGATTTTGTAAGTTATAACCCGTTGTATTTCTCCTCCATATAGTAAAATCTCCCCATCCTCTCCCCGTGGACGTAGACAATTATCGAACCACGTATATCTCTGTGTTTGGTTTGATTTGTCCTAATTGGCTTGATTTGTGCAAGTGTGTGGCTTTCTTCTTCCGTGATCTCAAGATCGTTGTGTGTGCGTGCAACGCTTCCGCATAGGCGTAACTCACTCGATATCAAGCTCTGTGATGTTGGGTCCGAGGCGAGAAGAAGACCCATTGACCTTCATGATTTTTTTTATTTTTGTAGCGTGATCAGGGGAAGGAGAGAGTTAATGGGCCCAAATAGGAGCCACAGTTTGAATTAATTAGCCTCCTATTATTTGTGTGGGTTAATGAAAATCCAATATAATGAGAATTCCTTTCGATAACTAATGATAATAATTGACTATTATGGCTGATAAATCTTTTGGGAGTAAGATGAGCAGACGTTACGTTCTTGGGTAATAAGTTCCTTGGAATCAAATTAGGGCCAAATTACTGAGGAGGACTTCAATTAATGGTATAAAATTTAATCATTTTAAATTAAGAGGTCCTATTCAAAAAGGTCTAGCTGAGTTAGTAAGATACATATGAGTAATACTTTAAGATCTTAGGTTCGACTCTCTTGGAGAGTACCTATTAGAATTTATTTTTCTAGAATATTACATTGGAGGTGCTCTTTAGCCACGCCCGGAAGTTTGATACCCATGATCAGTGACGATGTTCGATCCCCCATCAAACCAAAAAAAAAAGAAAAAAGAAAAAAGTCATAATCCTTATTTTCTATCCGAACCAATCATATCTCGTGTCTCGTTCGTTGTGGACTACGTGACACATAAAGAAAAGCATAAAGAAAAGGATGGGATCCTCACAGTATATCCAAAAATCAATTTAACCCAGTATCATGATTTGAAGAAATTTGATTTAAAAATTCATTAATCTATAAATCTCAATCATAACTTCTCTATTTAAAAATTTTACAACTTTTATTCCTTGTTGTCTGAGTACTAAAAGTATTATCCTCAACCCTCATTATAATTTGTGCAGTAGCAACTAAGGGTGGAATGAACCCAATAATTAATAAACTATTCGGTTATTATTTACCAGATATTTGGTCATATTTAACTCGATAGTTCATTTAGTTGTAAATGAATATTTTTTTTATTATTTGGCTCATAAATAAATAGAATTTAACCAAAGGTATATTCAATTCAGTTGATTATTAAATATTCATTTATATATTATATTTTATTCCTCTAAGTTTAATTTGTCATAGAATATTTATCTTTTAAAGTTGCACTTGAGATACTTACGATGTCGACATATATCATAACAAAATATCTATTAAAAGTAAATTCTTATGCAAATTTTAGGTTAGATTACATTCTTAAGTTCTAAAAATAAGATTTTTCCTGCTTCTACATTATCACATTATACTAATTTTTATGTTAATATTACTATTGATAAATATATAAATTAATAGATTATAAATATATGAAGTTAATTATTTTAGTAGTAAGATATCATAATAATAATTAAGTAATTATGCAACATGTAAAAGGAAAATAAAGTCAATAATATACCAACATAGGATTCAAACACCTAACCTCAAATTCCAATAGCAAGTTCTTTAACCAAGTGTTCTAAAAAATAATCACGAATATTTACTGAATATGTAGTTAATATACCAAATTGAATTTGAACACCTTCTACCCATTCGACACGGATTCAAATTCAAATTTAAATTTTCTGGAGTAAATCGAATTCAAATTCCAATATAAAAGTATTCGATCAAGTTCGATTTGTTTCCACCCTTAGCAACAGAGTAATTTTTTTTTCATAACCCAACTTAGAATCAAATCCAAGTAGGTGGAAATCATATTAGAGCCTTCCAACTATTTAGATCACCCGCAGTGGGTGAGATGATAGAGTACTTTGACATGATATCAAAACTCTTTAACCCTTATGTTTAAGATTGGAGAGGTCCAATAAAGAAATGAACTATGTTAATCTACTTAGACCTAAAAAGAATTGGTCCCAATTAGATCATGAGTGTAAAAATATATTTATTAATCATCTATCTTACTCTTTATCCAATATGAAACTAAATTCTACATGTCCTTTCTAAACCAATCCCCACACTTATCTTAAATTTAATTTCTCTAACCATTACACCAAAACTCTGAAGTTATGGTGAGGATCAATGTTATAGTTTTATATTAATTCTAAGAACTTCAACGGAATGGATGCAAGACACACTTTACACTTTACACTTTACACTTTACACTTTAGATTATGACACGTTCCGATGTCGGATCTATCACAAATCAACACGCAACTGAAGCAGCAGCACAATCTTGCCTTTATTTTCAATATATAAAAATAATCATACACATAAATTATTTGAACTTCACTTTAAACTGATGATAGCTTCCATCTTCTTCATCAACAGCTCGAAGTCATCCTGCGTCTTCATGATACTCAGGCGAGTATAGCGTCTATCTGCCCCAAAATTTATACCACCTTGACTAATTATGCCCCCTCTCTTCAGAACATCTTCACAATCTCGGTCTTCCTCCATCTCACACTTCAACCAACCGTATGCTACCATTCATTTCAACGTAACAATGTTTAATTAGCACACAACCTCCAAGTTTTGCTTTTATAAAATAGGATAAATTTACAGTAAGCCCCCAACAACTTTCAACATTTTGAGTGAACCCGCAGTAGCTTTTAAAATTGCACTAAACCCCTGACGACTTTTGGAATTGCAAAGAGCCCCCAATAAGCTTTCATGTTTTGCAGATAACCCCCATAAATGAGAAAAAAAAACAATAGAAAAAGGCATTTTGAAAGTTATCGGGGGCTTAGTTTAATTTATCCAAGAAATATTGGAGGTTTTTTACAAAAGCTATTGGGGGGTTTAATGCGCTTTTGAAAGTTACCGGGGGTTTAATGTGATTTTGAAAGTAAGGCAATGACGACTCCCAAATTAAACCGTCAAAATTTGCATTCAGGACATCAAATTTGCACTTAAGAATATATAATACAGGGTGGGTTCAGATGGGTTTAGAAAGAGCCGTTGCCTTCAAGATCGTTAGAAATACATGAGGAGCTAATTTTATAATATAGCAAGCTTTGAGGGTCTTATTTCAAAATAAATACACGAGACTTGGGGACCAAAGCCTTGAAAATCCTAAAACCTTCGGAGGAAAATAATTTTCTCGAGTTACCTGGAGAAGGATCCTTGGCTTTCTTGAAGTAAGTGCAGTTATGAGGAGCGAGTTTCTGAAGAGAGAATATTTCGGAAGAAGAGATGAGCTCATTAAATCTCTTCCATCTTTCCCTCATCGTCTCATAACCAAACTCGAACATGTCTTCTTTAGTCCGCATCCCTGAGAGGATGGTCTTGATGATCTTCAGCATTCTGAGGTGAGTATCGCCAGAAGTCCCGATTACATTCTGATTGACATAATACAATACTTTCCGAAAAATTTTCTCATCCTTCAGCAGAGCCCACCTAAAATTAAAAATTCGAGATTTAAGGGAATAATATTAAGAAAAAAAACCCCGCATGTTAAACATTTCATCTCAAGAATATCATAAAATTTAGACATACCCGAATCTGCTGCTGGCGTGGCCGGACATTTTAGACATGGAGAACAGCATGACATCCTCGTCGGCCGGAGATAGGATGGCAGAATAGTGGGGCCAGTAGTAGCAGAGGTCGTAGATGACCGAGGCGCCTCCGAGGACCGACTGTTGGAAGAGTCCGTCGGGGTTGTTCGGTGAAGTCACGAATTCTATGAAGTCGTATTTGTTCGATGAGTTTTTCCAGTCGGATGCGCTTCCTTCCCATTTGTTAGCCCTGAAGTCGAACATTTCGGTTTGCGTCTTGAACACCTGTGATTCGCATTACATTTGTGATCCATTGTTAAGTTGCCGATCCATTTACTCTATATGCTAACCAAATGCCATACGTTGATTTTTTTTTTTCCATTTGCCTAATTTCATACTTCACGTACGAGTAAGTATATCTATTCTATTTTATACTAGACTATATACTAAAACAAAAACCTCGCCTTACAGTTCAGCAAATTCTCAGACAACGATTTCTGAACTTATTTCCTCTCATCGGTTGCAATGAGTTATGTATACTGACCGCGTAGTAAGGAACAGCTGCGACGACTCTCGCAGCAGGAACCGAGAGATTGTTGGCGGCATCAGGAGACAATGCGTAGACGAGAGCGTTCATGAGCTGAGTTGCTCCGGTGCCAAAGGCGATGAACCTGTCCTTGGTCACAGCATTGCCGACGGAATCGTGGAGGAGGCGGATGCACTTCTCGAGCTCGAGGGAGATGTGGTGTTTGCCCGTTTGTTCGTAGGTCATGCGGTGCCATCCTGAGAGCAGGACTGCGCTGCTCGCTGCGTGTTTCCGCCAGTATGGCTCAAGGAACACTGGGTCTCCACTGTATGTCAACAACAACAACCAAAAAAAAAAAAAAAAAAGAACTGGGTCTCCACTGTATGTCAACAACAACAACCAAAAAAAAAAAAAAAATAGAGATATACATGTGGGGGTTTGTGAACAAAAACCGAAAAAAAAACAACAAAAAGGGGGTAATTTAAATCTGTAGTTGAAGAAATTGGAGGGTATATTTACAACAATCAAGATTTTGGGGGGACAAATTTGCAAATATAGTAAATTTTGGTAGTATATCTTGCAACATCTCACACAAAAAAAAAGAAAAAAAAAAGAAAAAAAAAGAGTAAGGTTAATAAATAACAAAATCTATTGTTAAACATTTGGACATTTTATTCGCAATTATCAAGATTTGGGGAGCAAATTTAATAGATTTGGCAGTATCTATGAAAAACACCAACAAGTGAATTTGGGAAAGAAGACTTAGGGAGTACATATGCAACAAAGATCATAGTTTAATTACAAATTTGGGGGTTAAGTGAAAAACTTAAAACTTACTGGTGGTTAATTATCAGACAAAATTTATTTCGATATTTTTTGTCATTTAACCACAGGTGAACTAATAGTGCTAATCTTGAGGTGTATTCTGCCTAGACTTTTATAGTGCAAAGTGCCCAATCTTATTAGGGGTTTACTGAAATTTACCCTTTTCTCAATTGTCGACCAAATGATCTACTGTACTTTTATCAAGTTCATAGGAGTAGCGTGAAAGAATATAAATTATAATCCTTCATGTGATCGTGTCTTCTAAAAGTTTGATGCACTGGAAATATTTTGAGATTAAATCCCATTCGTCGCTATGAAAATTATATTTAACCACAAAACAGTGAAAGTCATTGATTTTAAGGAGGAGTGCTTCTTCTAAAAATCCAATATCTATCACATAATTCTATAAATATTAATCAGAACACTACCTAACTAAATTCATAATTAAGAAGCTGACCTATAGACATCGATTGGGCAGTCCGGCAAGAGCACGGAGCAGTCAGGGCCGGAGTAGCACGTGTTGCACTCGCACATGGGCACTCCGTTGACGACGACGCTGTCGAGAAAAGCTCGGCCATGGCCAGAGCACGACATGGCGCCTCGACTGCCGCTGTCCGGCTCCATCCGAGCTCTCTTTGAGAGTGAAATATGTGGTAGTAAAAATGTATGTTGAGGAACAAGGATGGGAGGAAGAGGAGTAGTAGGAGATTTAGCCTTGCTTGTTTTTGTCCTGCCATGAGATTTTATGGACCAATGTTGATGGGAGAATTACTGAGCTTAATTAGGAAGCAAGTAATGCTATGATATTGGGGAAAATATAAAGTGAAAGGAGGTACATGACCTCCAAATGTGCAGTATAAAAAATATCAGCTCTTTATCAAAATTAGGATTCATGCACAGATTCATAGGTTGATATTCTTTGGATATACATTTTACGGTTTTTCTATAGAGTGCTCATGGGCACTCTATAAGAGAGGAGAGAGATAGAGAGAAATGAATAGCTCATGGGCCCTCCTGATTTGTATTAATTTTTGTGTATAATTCATTTCTCTCTATCTCTCTTCTCCCTTATAGAGTGTCCATGGGCACTTTATAGAAAAACCATACATTTTATGCTATAGACTGCTCTCACTGGATTCTTTCGCGATGATCTTGTAGTAGAAATATTATTATGTTGGTAAACTAAAAAAGACTTTCGTTTATTTGAGAAAAATGATAAAGTATCTAATGAGGACGATCCATGACATTAAATGTGCATCTAAATGATATCAATTCTTGGATCATTAGACTTCATAATTTGTACATTGATTTAAGTGTTGACATATTTTAGATGCACATTAATAAATTAGACTATCTTCAGTGAACGCTTTCCCGAGGTAAAAGGAGATTAATGTAATCATTGAAAATTAGTGGGGTACAGTTTGGGCTCCACTCTCCCTCACCTGTACTCCTACTTAAAAAAGAGCTTACGGGCACCTGTTAATAAAGTCCAATTGGAAATGGTCCTACTACGTTCAATTATACCACCTTCAAGAAGGAGCATTTTTCTTGAAATATCAATCATAGAGATGATAGTGTTGGTGAATAAGTTGAAAGATGACGACGGTAGCACTACTAGTAAAATATTTATAGACAGACACAAGTTTTTATCCGCAACGTGCTTTATCCTTTAATCTATAGATAGTAATCATTCCTTTAGAGAAGATTATTGATGGCACTCATGGCGTTGTTTGGCGCTAGGCGTTTAAAATATGGACGGTGTAATCAAAAGGAATCCTGGCGGACCTCACCTCGTGTCGGAATGGATTGCGGTGGATCACCTAACCTCATAATTAGAACGTTGTTAACCGTTTTCTCTTATTAAGGACAAATAGGTAAGAAAGAGAGAGATTGAGATGCATGTGAATGTATCGACTGAATATTTTCCACTAACAAGAGAGTGTTTGGTTATTTTATTTTTAAAGGCGATGCAAAATCCTTCAGTTTTTGTAGGCTTCTCGGGAAAACTTTGTGCGTTTGTTTCGCCATATAATAACAGGGAGTGGAAATATTCCATTGCATTTTCTAGTTTGGTTCAAAAAATTAAAAAAAAAAACTTGATTTGTGAATGGATTTGGATTAAAACCCAAAAAGAAGAAAGCACATGATTGGTAAATTGAGTCATTTTTTAATGGGTTTTAAGGCGTTTCTAGTCCATTTCTAAGTTAAATGGGGTTTCTTATTTTTATGATATGGCAACAACATTTTGGAGCCCTTTTCTAAAACTCTTTGGGCGAAAATGTTGGGATTAAGGTGCTGTTTAGATTGTATTTAGCACGAAATGCAATTTTAACAGTTAATTGAAGTCGGAAAATAACAGATTAAAAATATAACTCAGAAAAGAAGTTGAATCGAAAATTTAAACTGGGTTTAAGAATATATATAGCCTGATGATCGAAGCGTGCACTAAGCATTGTCCCAAGAATCTAATTGCCCCCTCTCGTATAAGACTTCATAGCAATGGATCTTGGAGATACGACGACCCTCGGTCAGGTGACCACCTTCTCGTCGGCACGAGCTTCAAGAAGGCTTTGCGAACTCTTCAAGACTTTCAGGAAACCAACAAAGGAGTTCCATCAAGAAGTTCTAAATTGAAAAGAGAAGAAGAAGAGAAAAGAACTATTATGTTTGCACTATGTCTTAGCCTTCTCGCCTATATATAGGTCCTTTTATAGGGTTAAAGCCGTCGTTTAGATCTACCTTTTCCGTCATTTAGATCCACCATTCTCACCCTATTAATTAGCCATTTGCATTCATCTAGCTACCCATTTAGATCCTTAATTCCCGCAACAATTAACACGTTTTAATTACTCGCCCACAATTCTCACCCATTAATGCTAGTCGTTTTCTGTCATTTAGATCCGTCATTGCCGCTCTTTAGATCCATCATTCTTGCTCAATAATGCTAGCCGTACGTTGATCACGTTTTAATTATTCCAGTAAGAATTCAAAGTGTAGCAGGTTAGGGGCCGAGTGTGCGCGCGCCTCCTCAACTGACCCGGCGCCGAGTCCGAGTCCTCGAGATGTCGTCCCGTCGTCTCGTTCGTTCGGTCGTGTAGACTAACACCGCCTTTCATGTCCACTAGAAGGTGTCGTTTCGTTCGTTCGGCCGTGAAGACTAACACCGCTTTTCGTGTCGACTAGAAGGTGTCGTCTTGTCTCGTCGTCTCGTTCGTTCGGTCGTGTAGACTAACAACACCTTTCGTGTCGACTAGAAGGTGTCGTCTCGTTCGTTCGGTCGTGAAGACTGACACCACCTTTCGTGTTAACTAGAAGGTGTCGTCTCGTTCGTTCGGTCATGTAGACCAACATCACCTTTCGTGTCGGCTAGAAGGTGTCGTTTCGTTTGTCCGGTCATGAAGACTAACACCGCCTTTCGTGTCGACTATAAGGTGTCGTTTCGTCTCATCGTCTCGTTCGTTCGGTCGTGTAGACTAACATCGTCTTTCGTGTCGACTAGACCGCTTTTCAAGTCAACTAGAAGGTGTCGTCTCGTTTCGTCCATTCGGATCTCGTTTCGTCTCGTTCATTCGGATCTCGTCTCATTCATTCGGATCTCGTCTCGTCTCGTCAGTTGAGACATCTACTCTTAGAGATCCAATGTGGGACTAAATTTTCCCACTATAGAGTCAAGTTTTAAGTTACAACTCCAACAGAAACAAACTACAAGATAAAGAGTTTTACTCTGTTCTACTCACGTGTTGACATGTCATGCCTTGGAGAAACACTTTCTTAGTTTGAGTGAAATAAACAGCCTTAAGTTCTCTCTTCTCTCTCACACAATTTTCTCATTTTACATGCTTGTTGGGAGTTTTCTGACTCCTCTGGGGTTTGCGTGCTCCAGATTCGGGAACCGTTCTTTTTTTGCAAGACCGAGAGTATTTCGAGGGGCATGCTCATCGGCAGTGATCACCGTTTTTTTATCAATTCTCCAGTTCAGTTGATTTATGTAGTTATTTGGCTTAGGCTTTCTTTAGTCACATGTGGCTCTCTAGGCTATGGTGTATTTTTCCTTTCTCTTTAGATGATTGTGGACTTATCATAGAACTCTGAAAATTTTATATATTTCTTTATCTATACATTCCTTTTATTATCTTGGTTACATGCTCTTTGGTGTAGTTTTGACTTTATATCTGTATACAGGGTGATCTATAGGCGTAAATGCTTGCATTGCCGGCCGAGTCACGTTTTTTCTTTCTATTTTTCTTTTCTTCTTAACCATTACCTTAACATATCGGGTTTTTATTGTCAGTTAAAGCTTTAATCTAATCCTTTGCTTTTAAAAAGATTCTAACGCCTATGGATTTTTTTACTAATAGATTGTTAATCATCCTGTAGCTTTCAACGTTTTTCAAAAAAACCTAAAACGTGAACCGCAATTTTTTTTCATCAGCAAAAATATACCTTAGTAGCGTTATCCACCCATGTGACAATAACACTTAAAATCTTTTTTGGAGTGGAAGGATTGTGATATCCCAGGCCGTCCTGCGTCGATAAAACTAAAGGAATTTGAATAGTTTAAATAGTAAAGTTAAAGGGTTCAAGAGCAAATAGTTATCACTTTATAGTTGTGAATTTAGCTAAATAAGGAGTTGTTCACTTGTTCTTAGTGGGTACTACAATTTATATCGTTCAAATAGGTTTATGGGCCCAGGCGTTATAGGTTTAAATAGTGAAGTCAAATGGATCAAGAGAAACTAGTTTTAGATTGAGCCGAACAACTAATGAGTCCTCTAGCTTAGGGCGCCGCAATTGGCTGGTAGGCCTAGGTTGTGACAAAATCATTCAAAGTCCTTTACTTTTCTCATTATCAGATTATTGAGGTGCTTAGCACAAGTTATTTTTTGAACCACTTAACTTTACTATTTAAACCATCATAGGGGGTTTATGAGAAACTTTGAAAGTTAAGTGAATTTTTGGATAAACCCTAAACTTTTTTCCCTTTTTCCTCGGTTCATTTTGGAAATTGTGGAGGGTTATCTAATAATCATCTAAAGTTAAAGGGGTTTTCTAAAATTTTAGCCCCGAAGCTTCTTGGGAGCACTGAAAGTGTACAATAGTGCCGGGTGCTTTGTTCTTATGATTGAAATTATCTAGGGTAGGGGGGCTTACTTATTGGGACATTTGGGGGATTAAGGGACAATAGCGCCGGGTGCCTTTTTTTCCCTTAGACGTTACTTCCTGCTGCACTGAACTCCAGTTTCCCTCCATCGGGAGAGGAATCGATCACCGAGTGAGAATCAGAGGATGATGATGATGAGGATGAAGTAAAAATTCCGCTGTTACCCTCGCGTGAGAAGGCGGAACAAGCCTTCTTTTGCCTTCTTACGGGGAATAGTTAACCCTTCAATTCACGGGTTAAATGGAGTTTTGGGGTCCCGTGTGGGTTACTTAACACTTGGGCTTTTTTTTCCTGTTTGGCAGGTTAATGGAGAGTTAAACCCCTTTAACCCTTCATTTAACCCCTTGCCAAACACAGCCTAAAGGGATAAAATTGTTCCATTAGAATAATTTTCCCACTTAACCCCAATTTGTCCCAACCAATAACCCCCTAATGC